CAAAAACAACCAGATCCGCCACCACTGTTAAATAGTCGTTGCACAAAACACCACCATCACCAAGATCCACCACCACCACCACCGTAGCCACTACATGGTTTGTCCCACTCCACCACCGCGGTCGCAGCCGCCACCAAAAACCACAACCGTGGATTTATTTCTTCGAATCTGATATGCAACAACCACAATCTGATCACATCACATGTGCCATCTCACACGTAAAGCACCCGCCACAAGAACTACCATCACTACTGTCGACCACCGTACCCACCGCACAATAGATGAATCAAAAACGAAAAATACCCTAAAAATCTAGAGCTCTGCTGGTGTTTCTGAGGCGACGCTACTGTTGCGCCGCTTCGAGCAGTGAGTACCACTGCGTCTACTGGTGTTGATGTCGCTTGTAGCAATCAAATAAGGGCGTTCTGAGGCGATACTACTGCTGTCGCCGCTTGTCGTCGTCGATTGGGGGTGGGTTTCAGTCCAATGAGAGCGAGTATGATCGACCACCGCACAGATCGGCGACTGCAAGCTATGCTCGGAGGTGTAGCATGAGCGCCTTCGCCCTGCGCTGTGGTCTTCGTCGACGGCAGCCACGTACGAGGGAGAGACGAGAGGGAAAGGCAACGGGAAGAGAGAGAAAGAGGGATATGAGAGTGGTATTTGATTTTTAGGGTTTGAGGGTGAAACTTGTATATTTAATATTTAGAATATCAAACACCTGATTTTTGAACAAAAAAATCCTCACCCTGATTTTTGAAGTTGAATCTTGAAATACAGGGTTTTGTGTAATTCCAGCCATTGCACAAAGAAGCGTCCCTTTGGGGGCATCCAAAAAAATTAGAACGAGATTAGCATGGCCCTGCCCACGGATGATATGCTCAAATTTAGGAATGATCCAAATTTCTCTATGATACGAAATTTGGAGATGTACATTGGTTTTTTAAAAGCTAAACGATGTTATGAGTAATTTATATTTTTTCCTCGTTAATTTTTTTCTTTATATTTTACTCTATTGAACTTCATGGAGTAGGATGTTGAGATTTATTTCAACGGAAAATAGGGCATTAATGAAATTATCCAATATGAAGTGTAGTGTGAATTGCTAGAGGTCTATGTAAATAAAATGTGTCTGATTAGGTTGATTCTTAGATTTGTTGAGTAGAAACTAATATAATTCTTACCAGAGAGGGCTTAGTTGATCCATAAATAATGTAACATCTTTCGATTGCTTTTCATTTGTTTCTAGAAGTCTATCCATCAATTCCGATTGTTTTCGAGGAATTTGGGCATTAATGAATTACCAAATGTCCGTTTAAGCATATATGAACCAGAAATGTGCAAGGGGAACGTGTCTATTTATTTTTTTTGAGGAAAAATCTCGATCAAATAGAAATTGAACATGAATAAATGTTAGCACGAGGAAGATTCTATTTGGGAAAGGTAATATAC